TGAATCAAGTGAAGCTAAACAAGAAACACAAGCCCCAAAAGCATCATGAATCAGTTCAAAAATTGTAATTTTACARCAGCTATAGCAGGGAAAGACAAGGTATCTAGACACGTCATCGATAAATACTTTCCTGTCTGAAGGCCAGTGGTCCTCTCTCCCACAATGACATTAGAGGGATGCAGGATGCATCATGGGGTTAATGAAATAAAAGCAAGATTTTTACTAGTAGTTTTTAGAGCTTAATATGGAAGCACAACATTGCAGAAAGTAAAATATAAAACAATGCAATAGAACTTGATTTACACAACTCTTGGAAAACCTAAGAAGGGATTATACTGTTATTTTGTTGAGCATCAATGTCTCTGACCAAACACTTAATAACTAAACATGGCAAGGGCTGGGGAAACCGTACATCACTGTATGTTCATGAATAAAAATACAAATCTAGTTATTGCTTAATAGAACTCTAAACAGTCTTAGTAACAATATGTACTGTGAGCAATGGTACTGAATACAAAGAAAACAATTGAGTGAAGTCATTAAACACATGAAACAAAATTTGACTATCAAAGTATGATAGTCAAACTAACACAAAAATAGATTTTTATCGGACTGTGAAATTACTAGTAGACACTAGTAGACTCTACGCTCATTGCTTTCTTTTATTGGAATACAACTATTAGACACTATTAAACACTGACTTGTGTTAATTGTTTCGCACAGATGAAAATTACTCTAACAAATGCAATTAGAGTATACTGTAGTTAGTTTGATATATCTATTTCACTTTTGACTTCACTCAAGTTCCTTTGTTTTCCATTAGTAACTAGTACATTTGTTTCACAGATTATGTGTGCCCACTATTTGCATATTTATTATTTCATTCACATATACTCTATTGGGATTTGTTCTAGGCTCAATTAGTGCTAATCCTGAGTTAACTCTAAATAAATGTATAGAGTTAAACCTGGATTTGAGTCATTTTCATCCATCTGTTAAATAGGAATTGCACTATTAAATACTAATGCCCCCCTATTTAGCTCCCAATAGTTGAACTTATGACATGCAACAAACTAATTAGGCAAACACGCTTTTATTTTGCCTTTTAGTAGCCTACTACACCCTAATAGTTACTATAATTAGACACTGACTAGTAGTAATTGTTTCACAGATGGATGAAAACGACTCTAACACAATCAGGCTTTGAGCAACCCAGCAATTTGTGAAGTTTCTTCACAGTGTAATGAATAATCCACAAAAAAGTTAAATTTTGTGGATTGGCCAAAAAAGCCCCCTTTTAGGAGACCGTAGGAGGTTTTGATTGGAGCATTAAGATTGTAGACATATTTTACAAAATTGTGCAAGTTCCAGTGAAATATTTTAATTGTTTATAATATTTGACAAGATAAATTGAATGTGATGCGTGTCAAGTACAATTCACAAATAAYTATTTATAAATCCAACAATTTATTACTTTATTCAGTAATTTTTAGCCTTTTTTGTTCCAATATTTGTACTTACATTTTTATTGCATGTGAAGTACATGTATTTTCAAATTAGATTTGGCAAAAGCTAAAAGCCAAGATTTWACAGAGATCATTTGATAACTTCAACATGTTTCAATTCTCTGACACAAATCTGGATCATTTTTACAGCTGTTTCTAAAATAACATAGTGTATTCAAGACCAAAATGCATTGTTGCCATTTGATTTCATGCAGGTGACATTAAGAAATGACAATTTTAAACTAAATTACTTTCTACCAAAGGTATGGCATAGTCACTCTGAAATAGTAAAAACCTATTTTAGAGTGGTGAGGGACCAACAATGCATTCTGTATTGAAAATATGCTGTAATAGTTGTATTACATGGCTAATAACCTACTAAGTAGGAATACAACTCAACCTGTCCGTGTTTTTATGTAAAATATTCCACTTTTAAAACACAAAAATATATTTATTTTATTTGGCGTGTGTAAGTAAAGTATGAATAAAGTTTTACTGTGTGTTTCATATTGTCAGCTGTTTATTAATATATTTTTTATTGTTAAATTTGACTGTTTTCCCTTTTTTTTTGCTTTTCATCGCTTGGATTTCTCATTTCCTCCATTTGTTACTCTTTCAAATCTTTTTCACTACTCATTATTATTTCTCTCCTTGACACTTTTTCTCTCCTCTGATTTCCTTGTTTTCCTCCAGATGTTTTTGTCTTGTCGCTTTTATTTGCACTCATGATTGAATTGGTCTTGTTCAGGGCCTTTTCTTTTTGGTTCTGCTCCAAAATTCTCTCCAAAAACATTTAAGACTACCAACACTTCATCCAGTACCATTTTGGTCTGGGCATATCTTCATCAAATCCATCCATATTGTTTTCAATAAGTGGGATTACATTATACTTTATAAGATGCACTTTAAACCTCCTTGAAACTCCACAACTTCACTTGGTATCCTTTGAAACATCCTGTTTTAAGGATCATTTTGGCTTCTCCTCAAACCATGACTCAACCTCCTTATCATTAAGTCCTTTCTTCYGTGGAAGTTTCCAGGATTCAAAATGAGCAACAAAYTTTCCATCTTTTGAYGGTAGAAGATCCTGCATTTTTGAACCAAATTCCTTTGCCTTGAAAATAACAATAAAATATAGAGCATGTTTAGCAGTCAATCTGGACACATTCAATTGATTAAGAATTCTGGTAGAACTATTTTCATTTAACTGTCCAATGATAGCCTGTTTACATCCATTCCCAAGCCTCCCCTTACGGAGAATTTTCACTAAATTTTGCCCAGAAGGGAGGGGTGGGAACAGATATACATAGGCAAGTCCAATGAAAATATCACTATATTTCAGTTTATTGAAATGTAACGAGTGCATGTAATATAAACACTTCTTGTCTCAAAAACATGTATATATATAGTCATCCTGAGTTTATATTGTAAACCATATTTTGGTATTCCTGTGTATTATAACTTAGCTGTCACTGCCTGGGTGTGCAATCTACCTAATTTTAAATGTGCAAACAAATTGATAGTGATGAATATCTATAGAACCACAAAAGTTAACAGTTGATCCGTTCAGTACTTACAKTAKTGACTCCTAACGCAGTCTTCACGCTAAAGACTATCACACCAACACCACCCATTGCTAACAGACTCCCATAACCTAATGCACGCAACGCAAGTTTGGCTCCTTCGTTGTGTCTGCTCACAAACGCATCGGGGCTCTTTTTCCGCGCTATTCCAAGCGWAAGTCCAAATCCTCCCATCATAGAAGCAAAAGTCACTCCAGTAAGAAATAAAGCAGCAGTTGTGAGACTAATGGGAGAAGTTTCTGGTTGAACTTCCGAAATAATCACTTGTTTTTCTTSGCCTTCGATTTTCTTACTGTTGTCCGCCATTTTGTATTATTGAAAATTACCGCTGATCATTTTGAGCCCCCGGTCTGGAATATATTTACGAAATCATCCAAGTTTATTCACTGATTAATTTTATTTTTTGATTTCATAAAATGACATTTAATCATCGTTGAATTATATTTTGAATATATTTTTTAAATTAATAAATTAATTACTACTACGACAAATTAATTAAGAAAATCATGTTCCCGGGAAATATGTCAGACATATCTCCCGGGCATATTTATGAAGAATCCTAAAAATGCAAGCATATATCTTAGGAAATACAATTCAGCAATGATAAAAGTACTAAACTTAAATTGTCACATTTAAATAATTTCAAAGATTGTAATAATTTATCTTCAAAGAGATGTCATTTTTCGCGGTTTCCCTGTGTGTTGAGTACGCACGCGCAGTGGTCTTCCAAATCGGGTGGGCGCTTCGCTGCAGCGGAAAGTTTAATGAAAATGAGTTAAAAATTCGCTTTCTTTCTGGTGGCATCAACCTGTAAGTCTTCCAAACAACACGCCAAATAGACACCTTGTTACTATAGTAATGGCAGTGTGATTTCGAAGTGTTTTGGAACTGATAGGAGTTGTCAAATGACTACGGAAAGTGCAAAGCACTACAGTCCGATCATGTCGCGAAGAAACTGGGAAGTCTTCCCTGGACGAAATAAATTCTACTGCAATGGACGAATTATTATGGCTAGAAATAACGGAGTATTTTATTTTACTCTTGCTCTTATATTTGTAAGCACGGGACTGTTCTTTGGATTCGAGTAAGTATATTTTTTGTGTGTAAACTTTGCTCAATTTAATTAATCTCCCTCTCGTTTGACATTAGATCATTTTTACATTTTGATCGTTTAGGATAATTTTTCCTATTTGATCTTCCATCTTCTGATCTCTCCATATATTTTTCATTKCCAACTGTGATTTGATTAGTCTTTTGCTAGCTTTAACCACAGTTTTTCAGCCGGATTTTGGCTTTGAAATGGTGTAAAAATGAGCCATCAACGCTGCTCAAGCCTGCATGACAGTTCATGGTAGAATGMTTTGTTTTGTTGTCATACTTTCATAATTTTAGCATCGAGATTTGTCTTTATTTGCACTTTTGGCGGAATCATCTTATAGTTATAAGGAGAAGCTATTACAACTGAAGAAATTATAGAAAATATTTCATACGTTATTGGAGTTGAGACTTTTTGTTTAAGATATTAACACATGTACATTTCATGGAGCACTCGAACAGTTGTTTATTTCGAACCTATCTTCACCTAAGTACCTTGGCTTCRCAGAAAGCRTTCGACTCCTCAAAAAATGCACAAATTAATCAAGGAAATAATTAAATTTTACTTTCTAGGGTCTTGTAGACACAATTATGAATTTTTGTATGCAATTTTGATCGTTCCATCATTGTTTATGACACACTTCAATGGTTTTGAAGGATCAACCTGGCTACATAGCTTTAGAAAAGAAAAATATATATATCTTTTGAAAGGTCTAAGTTAAAAACTAGATTAAATGCAAAATCATATTATCAAACGAATTATAAAATAGGAGCACATTTCCTTTGAATTATTATTATTTTTTTCTCCTTTTCAATTCGCCCAAAAATGTGTTCTTTGTATGTATAAAATGATGCATTTTTACATGTATATTTAATGTTTRATTAACCCTTTTAAGAAAACCAAGATTTTATGACATTTTAAGTAACTGGTTTAGCTTTGTGCATTTAATTTTCAGACATAAAAATCTCTAATTGCTGTAAAACTATATATCAGTTCAAAATCCAACCATTTAGGCAATTTTATGATAAAAATTTCAAGAAAATAGCATGAAATTGCCTCATAACTTAAAAGTAATGGTTTTTATTTAAGTATTTTTATCTTTTTTTTATCTTACTGATCAAAATAAGAAAGGAAGTYGAGTCACACTTAATTTTTCTAGACRCTTYCCAGACAGTAAGGCAATTTAGGCTGAAAATACTGAGCCAGAAGATTGATTTTCTTTTTTKKWARRAAMYWKTGG